CGTCTGAGTCTATGCTGAACGCTAACTAAGAATTGAACTGTTAAGAGAACAACTTAAATTCATCTAACAATGTTTAAGTCTGGCTGACACTGTCCTCGAATCAATTGAGAGACAGTGTTTCATAATAACTAGTACTTATACTAGGTACTTATTTAATCATCAGATTTCTATATGTGTTAACTAATCAGTTATGTTTATAGTATGTAATCATTACCAACTGGTAGTTCTAGCACCTACATCTAGATCATTAGTAAAGGATGTTTTTCTATAATATCCGTACGGATAACAACTTAACTGCTAGTATTTAAAATTTGATGTTTATACTTTTCAATTGCAGTTCTGGGAAATAAAATATTTCATTCGACTTGCTAACTGTATTGGAAGGCTAATGTGTGGGACTAAACAATTAAAGCAACAATTTAGAGCTTAACACGCCCGCATCCAAGTTTAGGCGTAAATAATCGATTATAACGGATTATTATGATGATTTTTTGACAATTATAATCGATTATAATCATTAAAATTAGGTCCTTAAGGGATTTGTAATTGATTATAATCGTGCTATTTTCCAAGAGATTATAATCTCTTATAATCGATTATAATTGATTACAGTTCTTACCAAAAACCCTTAAAATCAATTATAATCGATTATAATCTCTCATTTTGCCGAAATTTTGCAATATTCGAATTATATTTTATGGGTTATTAATTTTGTGTCAGTAAGAAAATCTCTAGAAGAGAGATCTCTTGATCACGTTGGTTCATCTGAACACAAAGTTTTACCACGAAACAAAAGTTTCATAGAGATCCTTTCATATGAAGGGAAAGGTTCTCGCGGTATATGGAAAATAAATTTTCCGAGTCAATCATGAGACTGAATCAATTTGCTGATGTTTTGGTGTTTAAAAAAGCTTAAAATATGCATCACAAAACAACCCTAATGGGGAAGAAATGAAAAAAAAACTTATAATTTTGAATCAATTGGAAAACTTTGAAAATATTTTTCTCATTTTTTATAGAAACCAATGTCCACAAAAAGCATAAAATATAAGCAATTTAGATGCAACTTCGAAGACAAAAATGGACAAAAAAAGGGATTATAATCAATTATGATCGATTATAATGGATTTTTGTGCAAAACTAATGAAATAGAAACTTGAATAAAAATAATGGATGATAATCAATTATTATCGATTATAATTTTATCGAAAAATAGACGAATAAAAAATCGATTATAATCGATTATAATTGATTATAATTGATTATAATTTGATTTTAAAAAGAGTGATTATAATCGATTATTAATTGAATAAAATCGATTGTTTTTCAATTTTAGTGAGACTGGTACTAAAATGGTAATATAATCGATTATTAGCGCTTGAAACTGAATGCGGGCGCTTAAAAAAGTCCTCTCTTAGAAAAGCTTCAAATGTTTGCCTATCAATGGATTTTGTTATCATATCAAAATCATTGTATTTATAACCTATACGCTTGAAAACAGATACTCAAATGCGATTGGGCCAGTTAAGTGCCATTTTATTCCAATTAATTGTATTTTCATTGATAACTCACTAGACCGATCTAAACTTCCTTTGACACCTTTTAAAACAAGTTCAACGCCATAAAATTATCACAATAAAATTCAAAGCATCAGTAGGGTGATAAAACGGGGCAGTACAACAGTGCCGAAGTACAACAGTGCCGAAAATGAAAACTTTGTTCAACAGTGCCGAAAATGAAAACTTTGTTCAACGGTGCCGAAAATATGAACAAATTTCCACATATTAAGTGCGGTAATCAAAAATTAAACGGCGAACGTTTACAATCTTAAGTGGCGATTTTGGGAGAAAAAATTTGCAATTTAGCCGTTTTGGCGCCAAAATAATTGTTTAATTTGCAGTTGCAGACATTTTTGGCGCCGAAATTGGAGTGATTTTCTTTGATAATTAGCGTCAGTAATTTCTCGCTCTTTAGAAAATGCGTTGAAGTTATTCTGAAATTTTCCCGCCTTTTTCGGCACTGTTGTACTTCGGCACTGTTGAACGCCCCCGATAAAACATATGCAAGTGTCTGTAGATACAGAAAGCGACCCAAATTATATTCAGATCAGGTTAAAATATGCTTTTGATGATGTCAGCCAACTGCTGTTACTATTTCTTTGGTGGTAGCTAACTTGATAGTTCATTCATTAATAATCTAATATTTCAATCAATTTTTTGTTCTAATCATATCCGATGAGTGAAGCCAGACAAACGTGAGTATTTTGGCAAGTTCACGTGAAAATATTTATCGATATACATCTGACCGGAAACAAAACCAACAAGAATGCTCGTATCAGGGCGAAGCCCTGAATGTTCCGACTGCCTTTTAAGGTTTATGGAGAAGCAGTAATAACATTAAAAAAATTAAATGAAATAAAATAAAAAGAAAAATTTTTTTTTTCTAAAATTTGAAATTTTTTTGTGAAATCATCCCCCCACACGCCATGTGAAGTACAAAGGGATAAATTTCGTTCCTTGTAACAAATCAATTATGGCAAATAAGCTTCGTTCACTTATCTCCGCTTACTCGTTATTAGCGTGAATTATATCGCGCGTTAATTGTCCCAAATTGGTCAAAATGGCAACCTTTAAACCCTCATAACTTTACGAAAAATGATCACAGGTGAAATATCTTTTCAAATTTAAGCTCAGGACAACAATACCTTCTGAATGATATAAAAGAATCCCGTCAAAATGGCTAGTTTAAAAGTCGAAATTTGTCTGAAGAAAAAAAAACCCACCCCGAGCACAAATATTCCGTTACTTTCGTATCGAAAGTCGGAACAACAAGACTGCTCGTATCAGGGCGAAGCCCTGAAAGTTCCGACTACCTTTTAAGGTCTATGGAGCATTAATTAGATAGAAAATTTCAATGTAATAAAAAAAATAAAAACAATTTTTTGAAAAAATTTGAGTTTTTATAATAAAACATCCCCCCACACGTCATATTAAGTACAAAGTGATAAATTTTGCGCCTATTAACAAATCAATTATGGCATATAAGCTTCCTTGAACCAATTTGGAACAATTTCTAAGACGGATTAAATATCGCTTACGCGTTTATAGCGCGAAATTTATCGCGCGTTAATTGTCCCAAATTGGCCAAAATGGCAATCTTTAAATCCCCATAACTTTACGAAAAATGATCACAGGTAGAATAACTTTTCAAATTCAAGCTCAGGAAAACAATAGTTTTCGAATGATATAAAAAAATTCTGAAGAAAAAAAAACCCACCCCGAGCACAAATATTCCGTTACTTTCGTATCGAAAGTCGAAACAACAAGACTGCTTGTATCAGGGCGAAGTCCTGAAAATTCCGACTGCCTTTTAACGTTTATGGAGCAGTAACTACATAAGCAACATAAAAAACAAACAAAAATAAAACAAAATGAAACTATTTTTTTCTAAAATTTGAAAATGTTTCTATGAAAATCATCCCCCCACACACCATATAAAGTACAAAACAATAGATTTTGCTCCCAGTAACAATTCAATTATGGCAAATAAGCTTCGTTCAACCAATTTTCTAAGACGGATTAAATCTCCGCCTACGCGTTAAAAGCGCGAACTATATCGCACGTTAATTGTCCCAAATTGGTTAAAATGGCCAAAATGGCAAACTTTAGACCCACATAACTTTACGAAAAATAATCACAGGTGAAATATCTTTTCAAATTCAAGCTCAAGACAACAAAAGCTTTCGAATGATATAAAAAAACTCCGTCAAAAATAGCTAGTTAAAAGGTCGAAATTTGTCTGAAGAAAAAAAAACCCACCCCCAGCACAAATATTCCGTTACTTTCGTATCGAATGTCGGAACAATAAATTCATTTATACTGATATGATTTGTAATTTTAGCACTTTTTAAGCAAACAAGTATTTAAAGAACAGATTGCAACGCAAAAACGTTTTAACGCTTAAACAAAAATAGCCGTTTCCCGTTCGAGACAGAAACTTCGTTCAAAGTAGCGTACCAATGAAGAGGGCGATAGAGGGTCTCTCTTTGGTTCTATTTTATGTCATCCATTTTTTTGCCAACCCTAGACATTTTGCAACCCTGAGGGAGAAAAACGCAATTTTTTTAATCAAAACTTTTCAAAAAGTGATAAAAACGTCACTTATAGTCTTTTTCAAAAATGTCACAAGTTTTGCGAAATGCGGTTTGTTATTTCTAGGTTTTGAGATCAGCTCGGAGAATCAAATTATTGTTCCGACTTTCGATACGAAAATAACGAAATATTTGTGCTCGGGGTGGTTTTTTTTTCTTCAGACAAATTTCGACTTTTTAACTAGCCATTTTTGACGGAATTTTTTATATCATTTGAAAGCTATTGTTTTGCTGAGCTCAAGTTTGAAAAGATATTTCACCTGTGATCATTTTTCGTAAGGTTACGGGGGTTTAAAGATTGCATTTTGGCCAATTTGGGACAATTAACGCCCTATATTTCGCGCTATTAACGCGTAAGCGGAGAGTTAATCCGTCTTAGAAATCGTTCCAAATTGGTTAGAAGAAGCTTATTTGCCATAATTGGTTTGTTACAAGGAGCGAAATCTATCCTTTTGTACTTTATATGGCGTGTGGTGTGATGATTTTTATTTAAAAATTTCAAATTTTAGAGAAAAAAATATCATTTTTTTTATTTCATTGAATTTTTTAATGTTATTACTGCTCCATAAACCTTAAAAGGCAGTCGGAACATTCAGGGCTTCGCCCTGTTACGAGCAGTCTTGTTTGACTTAAGAAAAGGTTGATAAAATTTCCACAACTTTTTCGAGAATCCAACCCCCTGGAAAGAAAAATAAAGGAAATATGAGATTCTTTTTTCATTATAGCTCGAATATAGTTTGGAAAGGCATTCATGCATTTTTCTAGGGGACTGAACATCTAAATCAAATGTCCTCCCACAACGTGGCCAAACAATAATGCAACCTTGTAAAAATATTATATTTTGTTACAGAGTAGCTTCTCCAATAGCGTCGACCAAATGCTGTCGTCTGGTGCTATCCACTTCACTTGTGATGATGACGCTGATAGTTCTTTTGAGTGAACTTAGTGATGCCTCCTCGCCTGGTATTGAGGATGGGCCGGGAATGAAGGGGTGTCCAGATAATATGTTTTCCTGTAGTCAATCGAGACTCCACTGCATAAAAAAGTGAGCGTTCGCCTAACCTCAAGGATATCCGTTGCTGCGCAAGCAGCACTGAATGTTTCGACCACAAAACCTCAAGTTCAGAAATTCAAAACGAGGCATTTTTTTTAATATCGAAAAAAAACACTTTTCTGGTCTATATGTTATTTTTATTGGGAATGATTAATTGAACTGGGTGAACTTTAGCGAGAAAAAGAAATGGTTATTGCTTGAAAAAGCGATTATATTGCAGCATCGAATTGGGTGTCATCAAATTTAAATATCACAAATTTCCAAACTTTGGTCTGAAAATAGAAAAAAAACGCATCAATTTTTCCAAGAATGGGACGACCTTTTTGTATTTCTGGAGAGCGCATCACGACAAATAGGGCTTTAAAATGATATCATAATTGACCGCTAAGAGCTTTCAACAAGGCCTTAAAAATAGTTCATTTCCACTTCATGAAGAAGGAACTATTTCTTTGAGGTAGTCATAACGCCATAGTTTGTTCGTTCAAGATTTAAAAAAAAACCGAATAACAATTTATAGAGGTTCATAATGATACCACCTTTGACTCCCTACGAGCTTTCTTTGAGGCAGTCAAAATTGGTAAAAACACCCTGAACCATTGTTCCTTCCATTCACTTCATCAAAAAGTCGGGATTATAAAAAATGAGAACTCTCATGAGTAACTTGTAAGTTGCTTTGGAAGGTCTGTTTTGACTTCTTTTTCGAATCTGAATCAAGAATTCTGTTAGACATCCGATCGAACGCTTTTCCGGATTGCCTGAATTAAAAATTATATAAGCCAGTTAACAAAGGCTGGAAATAAATTAAAAGCAAGGGTAAAAAGGGCACATTGAAAAGGGTAAACAACGAGTCAGTTGATCTGATTACATACTATAATATATATTGAAGAATAAAAGATTCCAGGGGAAGCCCCATAGATATTGAAGAAAAAAGAAAAAGGTCAAATTCGAATTCCAGGGGAAGCCCCAGCCACGCCTCCAAAAACCTTTACGGTTTTATAAAAAACACTTTTTTAAACTTTTTTGCCTTCCTTATTCTTCTCCTTCTGTTTTTTTAACCACTTTTCATATCCTTTTGCTCAGCGGGATTTAATTTACCACTCTCCAATTTCAATTTATCACAAAACCAAGAAAACTTACCAAGGGTTTAATTCAAGCATCAAATTCAAACCCTTGGGTTTCGAACTCCCAATACTTAAATCAATTTATCAATTTTTAACAGAAGATCTTGTTAAATTTGTTATTTTACGACCTTTGGAGAACGAAAAAGCAAACTTTGTGGTCAGAGCGACTTACTCTGCAGGCAAAATTTGTCAATTGAAACAGATTTCGACAAAAATTTCCAATAATAACTTCGAACACGTCGATGTCGAATCAAAAATTAATAAGAATTCTTCATTGATTTCATCCCACCCTCCAATGCTGGCACCATAGCTACCTAAATTCTTACATATGTGCCTTACAATTGGTCAGAATTCAAGAACTGGAAAATTGAAACTAAAAAGTTTGAAAGCCTTGCAATATACGATATAGCTTAAACATGCAAAAATAATACGTTGAAAAAGCCTGCGAGGGCTTTAGCATGGTGAGATAATGGCCCGCATTTTAATATAAAATAGATCAAATCTATGTCTCAAAATTCTCTTTTCAATCATTTGAAACTATAATATTAACATTGATTAGAGAAAAACTATGTGACGCGTTCATCAATTGCGAGAACGGTGCCGACGAAGCTGCCGAACTGTGCATCTGGGCGGGATCAGATTACTACTACGACTACTACGCAGACAGAAGCCAAGTTCGACACTATGAGACAGACGGTATAATGAACTCATAGCATTGAGAACGTACCTGTAATAAGTGAAGTGTACTGATTTGAAATGTATTGACTTTCTCAAAATTTTTATTAGCAGTCTCTAAGTTTCGCATCACTTGCCGAGAAAAAAGCCGAGAAAAATGAAATATCGATAAAAAAACTAGGTGAACTATAAGGTATCGATGAAGAAAACCTGTATCCCAGCTGTACGAGTTTCATATTTTTTGAACTTGTTACACTTATGCCGGACGAAATGCGTGATTTCAATAATTCGGTTTGCCCAAAACCTTAATTGTTTATGTTTGTCTACTGAAATAAGTAAGAATGAAAAATGTTGAGTTTTTTCAATTTCCAACGAAATAAAACTTCTCTTACGAAAAATTAGGAAGTAGCCGCTTCTGCGGAGAAACTCGCGCAACCACTTCTTTCGATTGAAATTTTCATCGCAGATTTGAAAGGTTAGTTTTCAAGAAAATTGAAAAAGTTTCTAACAAAAACTGTCAAAAATTAAAAACTCGACTTTCCGAAAACTGTTATTTTCTTTCTGCTAAAAAACAGGTCGTGGCCGGTTAAGTATAGATTCCCAAAATCGCGTTTTTCGATTGAACACTTAACCTGAGCACAGTAATTTTCGAGTGAAGTCAAGAAAAATTTCCAAAAAACGTTCAAAGTTGTTTGAAAGCCACAAATTTCTTTTAAACTGGGTGTAGTAAACTGGGTTCTAACAAAACTAGGTGTAGTTAATTATAAAAGAAAGCTTTCAACAACCCGTTGTGTCGCTTAAACCTGACATTAGATTTGACACAGAGGCGAAGTTGCACTTCGCATACACAAGCAAAAATATGACCGATAACGCTACTGGGAAAAACTGAATGAGTAAAACATTGAGTCTACAAAATTTCTTAAGTGACGCACGCCATTTATGACGCATTAGCAGTACCAGTTAATTGGAAAAAAAAAGAAATTTACATACTAACATGCCCTAATTTATAGAGCAGTCTATGGAGCAGTAACAACATGAAGAAAATAAATGTAATAAAAATGACCTGAAATTTTTTTAAACTTGAAATTCTTTGTGAAAATCATCACCCTTCACGCCATATTAAGTACAAAGCGATAAATTTCGCTCCTCGTAACAAATCAATTTTGGCAAATAAGCTTCCTTTAACTAATTTGGAACGATTTCTATGACGGATTAAATCTCCGCTTACGCGTTGCGCGAAAAGTATAGCACGTTAATTGTCCCAAATTGGCCAAAAGGACAATTTTTATACCCCAACGAAAAATGATCACAGTTGAAATATCTTTCCGAATTTTAAGCTAAGGACAACAATACTTTTTGAATGATATAACGAAATCCCCTCAAAAAAGACTAGTCAAAATGTCGAAATTTGTCTGAAGAAAAAAACCACCACCCCGAGCACAAATATTCCGTTACTTTCGTTACGAAAGTCGGAACAATAACAATCTGTGTTAAAATCCTTAGCATTGGCTGTACTTAATAGCTGGTTATTGATTAAAAAGAAGACTTTAAAAATGAACACATTTAATCGCAACAATATTTGCGCCGCAACAAAATTTGCGACTTAATTAGGAAAAAAAGATAGTTCATACTATGACACAAGCATTGCTTGTGTAAAAAGATATTTGTCAAGAAAATTCTAAAAAACTGTCAACAATTCAGATACTTGATATTTCGTTTCGGAGAAGCATAACGTTTTGTAGGAAAAAATTGCGCCTAGCTGCTTATTTCGATTGAAACCAAAAACGCAAGTTTGGCAGACTAGTTCTCCAGATAAAACATAACATTTCAAAATAAGTCCAAAAAATCAAAAAGGACTTTTCCGAGGGGCGCAGTCTGGTATAAAGAGGAGCTTCCTAAAATCCGCTTTTTGGATTGTCCCGAAAATCCCAGATATGCTAGGGTTTTTTGATACAACACATCAAATTCTGATAAAAAAAACTTATAAAATTGACTTTCAAAGGATCAAAAATTTTCATTTAAAAACTTTTGAGTGGCCGCTAATGCAGGGTAGCTTCCCACTACCTGTTAAATCCATTGAGCCCATAACCTCCGAACGCCATATATATTTGTGTGTAATGAAAAGTTTCGGCTTAGCCAATTATGTAGTGGAGCTCTTCAATTCCGTTCTAGTCATTGAAACTAAAAGTTAAGATTTGGTACCTTAGTTTGTGAGATTACGAAAAAAAATCAAAAAAATCTGTCAATATTCTCCCCACAGACTTTTTCGGAGTTCAAACAGGAATTCTAGGCAAATATGCCCAGCAAGACATTTGAAATTCAATCTAGCAACTGAACATAACTTAGGAAGCCGAAACAAGGCCGACAATCTTTGAGCAGACACCAGTTGAGCCGAAAAGTTTCAAGTTCCCTCTGAAACTACCGTAGTAATTAGTACCCAGCCAGTAGTTTAATTTGAATTTTTATGAAATTGAGCATGTCAGCTGATTGAGCAAGTGATTCAACTGATTTTTAAAAATTATTTAACCCGAAAAAAATCTATAAGCGTAAAAACATTGAATAATAAAACCTCAAAACAAGGGCCGGAGCATCCCAACTAAATGTTCTTTTTTCTGTTTTAAAATTAAATTTGAACAAAAGTTTGACGGAGATTTTTTTAAATTTCAGTACATAGCTGGAAAAGTATGATCTCTTTTGAATTTCAGGATAATTTAGAATTGACATTTTTTGATAGGCAGTTTTGAGTAAACTGGATCAATGTGTAATTTTTTTATTTCGCTGGGAAATCTTGAAATTAAATGCTGTTTTCAAAAGGAGAAGCTGATGAAGTTTTTCGTGACCTTTACAAGTTTAATGTGGAGCTTGCCTTCCTTTTAACAAAGGAAATGAACTGAAGTTTAATAAGGAAGATCATTTTGAGCAATAAGTTGAGTAGAAGAATAAAAGCAAGAAAGATTGAGAGCTGAGAGAGGGGGTAGCTGACGGTAGATAAGTTGAAATTTAAGTATTTAGACCTGAGAGAGAAGGTAGTTGACGGTAGTTAAATTGAAAACAAATTGATTTTTAGTTAGGAGTGAGGGGTACATTCAACTCGAATGTGTGGGTTTAACCAATCAGAATTGTTTATTCTTATTTGAATTGTAGTCGTATCCAATCAGATTTCAGCTTCTTTTCGCGGAATTTTGTATAAAGATCGTAACTAATCGGAAACAAAGTTCCATTAGGAATTTGTAGACATTGTCGTTTTCAATCACAAAAATGTTTATTTTTGTTCTAGTTGTATCCAATCAGAGAACCAGTTTAAAGACTTAACTCTTCCAAATAAATAAAAATATACACAAAAGCAATCGCGGAAATAAATGACCAAAAGTTGCTTGCTGTAAAAATGAGAAAAATTGCCGATATAAGTAACAAAAGAAGAAAAATTAGAAAAAGTAGCATTTCCAAAATTTCTTTCATCAACTTGATTGTATTTTTTGTATGTAATCAGTGAGAAGTTTTTTATTTTTGAGTCCATAGTCAAGTTCTTTATTTTGGTCTAGATTTGAGAGGATAACTCAAAGTTGATGAAATTTTTCAAAGCAAATCTCTGGGAATCTGATTCCAAACCTGATAAAACAGCATTTTGAGCTGTGATAATTTTTGAAGAAATGAAGAAATAAAGAGCTTTGCTGGGAGTGAGCCAAATTTGGGCATCGGGTAGGGAATAAAGGGAGTTTTTGATATATTATCGTACGACTTTCTGATGAATTTCAATTTCTCGAGAATAAACAAAACTTCGTTCCTTCTGAGGCGTAATTCAGCCGTAAATTTAGAGCTTTGATACACAATATGTGGATCAAAAGTAAACTCTTTGACTGAGTAAGATTCTCTAAAGAGACCTTTACTTAGTCGGATAACTCTATTTTGTACAATAAAAACGTCCAAAAATTATGAAAAAAGAAAGAGTCAACATCTATTCCATCAATGAGAAAATAAAGTGGAATTTTTTATTTTTCCTTGTAAAGTAACTCGAGGAAGTTCAAATATTTTTTGATAGTCATTTTTCGAATAATGATTAAAATTTTTAAAAATTGATAAACAGATCACTTTAAGAAAATGCTGGATTCTGATTGGTTGAAATCCAATAAAAAAATGTTACTGTAAATAAGACAGTGCTTGATAAATCTATGCTGCTTTGTACTACAGCAGACTTGACAACTATACAGAACAAAGTCAATAAGCAAGTTTGTACAATAGAGAGACAAAATACAAAATGGCGATTCAAGTTGATCTTAAATGTGACCATTTTTGCCGCCTTACTGAAAAAGGTACCCATGGAATTCCAGATTCTGTGATTCCCGAACCACTTCTGAGGAATAGCATGTTAGTTGTTTGGTTTTGGATCAAAACAAAACAACCATACGAAACATAACATTTCAAAATAAGTCCAAAAAATCAAAAAGGACTTTTTCGAGGGGCGCAGTCGGGTATATAGAGGAAATTCCTAAAATCCGCTTTTTGGATTGAACCAAAAATTCCAGATATGCTAGAGTTTTTTGATAAAATACATCAAATTCTGATAAAAAAGTTATGAAATTGACTTTCAAATGATAAAAACTTTTCGTTTAAAAACTTTTGAGTGGCCGCTAATGCAGGGTAGCTTCCCGATACCTGTTAAATCCATTGAGCCCATAGCCTCCGAACGCCATATATATTTGTTTGTAATGAAAAATTTCGGCTTAACCACTTATGGAGGGCAGCTCTTCAATTCCGTTCTAGTCATTGAAACTAAAAGATAAGATTTGGTACCTTAGTTTGTGAGATTACGAAAAAAAATCAAAAAAATCTGTCAATATTCTCCCCACAGACTTTTTCGGAGTTCAAACAGGAATTCTAGGCAAATATGCCCAGCAAGACATTTGAAATTCAATCTAGCAACTGAACATAACTTAGGAAGCCGAAACAAGGCCGACAATCTTTGAGCAGACACCAGTTGAGTCGAAAAGTTTCAAGTTCCCTCTAAAACTACCGTAGTAATTAGTACCCAGCCAGTAGTTTAATTTGAATTTTTATGAAATT